GGTCAGGGAGCCGCAGGTGGGACAGGATGAGCTGCCACAGCTCCACGGGAAGGCCGCCCACCTCCATCAGCACCTGCAAAGGAGGGGACATGGGGTCAGCCGTGACCCTGAGGGCTGTGGGGCACCGAGGAGAGGGAACTCAGCACGGGCAGGGACCCCTCGTCAGCAGGGACTCCATCTCAGCAGGGACCCTGTGACAGGAGGGACAGGCCCACCTGTCTGCCTCTGGCTGGCCGTGGCATTGCTGTGTCTCCCGCCATGGTCCCCCACCAGCTCCCAGCTGGTGGCATGAAATGAGACCCCACCTCAGCTTGAGCCACTGCTGCTGAGGGCATGCAAGACCACCAAGTCCCTCTTCTGCTCTGGCTTGTGCCACCACCTGCCCAGCCTCATTCTCCACATCCCAGCCTGAGAACCGGTGGCTGCCAAAAGCACGATGCCCTTCCTGATCACAGGACTTCAGCCCCTGCTTCCCATGCTGGCTCCCCACTTGGGGCAAGCCTCCCCATGTCATTGGAGACCTCCCACCAGCCTCCACAAAGCACTGGGCAAGAGACTTCCTAATGTGGGATGATTGGTGGAAGCGTGTCCTGGTTTGAGCCAGGACAGAATCCCTTTTCCTTCAATAATTTTACTTTTCAGTTAAGTCTCTTCTAAGTAGCTGCACTTGCTGAAATAAACTGCATGTTTTTCAGTCACAGTCTGTTTCTAGGACTGATAACACTCCATGGTTGCAGTTACAGCTAGAGAATGGTGTGCAGAACCAAGGCCACTGCTTGGGTCTGAGAAAACATCTTAAACATTTAATTGCAAACTCAGCATTAACCCATATGATTTACAAATCAAACCTATATTCACCTGTAAGGAAAGGCACAAAATTGACAGAACCTTTAAACCTTAATGCAGGTAAAGTGCACTGAGTCTGTACCATGATCATTCCCCAGGTAAACCCAGTTGTTGACAACATCAGGGGATCTTGGTGTACTGACTCTAAGGACACCAGCCCAGAGGGTGGAGGGGAGTGGAGACACCACAGCCAGGCTCTGTGATAGAATGGGGGCCTGGAGGTACCATGGAACCAACAAGTCACATATTTGATGTCCTTGGCCAAAAATCTGCCATTTTTTTGACAAACGACTGTCCTTTGGTGAACTTTGCTCATTATAATCTTATTACAATACTAAAGCAGACCTCCATCCCAAAGCCTGGGGAGGGATACCACCTCTCACTGAGCACATGCTCTGAGTTTTCTCCAGTCTGTGCCTTCAAAAGCCAAGCGAGAGACTTTCACACCAACCATGACAAATGGCTGGACAGCTGGAGTCCCTCAGGCTCCACCTGCAGATGACAACCCTGTGTAATGGCCCAGGAGGGGAAGGATGCCAGGGAAGATGCCAGTGATGCCAGGGAAGGTCCCACCCCCAGCCTCTGCCAGGATTACCCTGAACTTTTGGGATCAGCCAAAGGGCTGAGCTTCTTCCTCCCATGGGGACACCTTTGGGTAGGATTTGAACACTCAGTTACACCAAGTGCACTTCAAAAAACTTAGAAACTTCTCTTTCCCCCTTTATTCCCCTTCTCTTTTATTTTTCATTTTCTCTTTCTGTCTCATCACTTTACACATTAGCAGCAGGCTGTATCACTCACATTCCTGGTACCTGCCGCTGCTTTGTCAGCTTTATCCCCAGCAATCCAAAGAACTCATGTATCTGTTGCTGCAGTAAATCACACTATTCACTGACCCAGTCCAGAGCATATAATACGACCAAGTTCCTGGATCGTGGTCGTGTCAGGTCATAGAATGCTGCTAGATGGATGGTGCAGCCTCAGTGCATCTGGAATCCTGAGAGATCAGGATCAGCACTAAAGCTGAGCTGGGCATCACTCAGAATGTGAGCCCAGCTGCCTCATTCCCTCTGGTATCTGAGAAACAGCAAGAACACAAGGGGGTTTATTTTCTGCCCAGTTACTTTCTCATTTAACACAACACCTAAATAGGGAGGTAGCTGGAGAGGAAAAGTGTTGTTATCAGTGACCGGAAAAAACAACAATGCAAAGCGGGGCCCTCCACCACCCTTCAGCGCTTCTGCCCCTGAAGCAGCCTGGTGCATGTTACCCAGTGTGCAGCAGCCAGAGGCTGTGGGGTGGGAGCCCTACAGACACCACTGGTCAGCATGCACATCCATCGGGCAGCTTCAGGCCAGCTGCCTGCCCGGGACAGCCTCCAGCCCCAGCCCTGCTCCAGGCAGCTTAGGCCTCACCCCTCCTGTCCCCACAGCTGCCTGCTCATGCCCACCCATGCAGGGGACATGTACCAGGAGGATTGTGTCACCCTCTGCTGACAGAGCTCACCTCACAGATGATGCTGTGAAAAGCAGCTGAGAACCGGGGTCCTTTCTTCCCTCATGGATGCACAAGGCATCCCAGGCAAGCACTCAGCTCTTTGGACAAACACAGGGAATTTTACTTCTCCCAGCAGACAGCTTGAATTCCAGCCATCCTACAGCTATCATGAGGAAACCACAGAATTTTTCTGGTTGGAAAAGACTTTAAAGACCATTGTGGCTCTTGGCAGCTCTGAGCCTCTCCCCTGGTGTGACACGTGGTGCCAAGGGAAGCAGACACTGGCACTGGAAGTGGGAGAGTTTTGGTCAGAACTGCTGGGGGGAAGACTTAGTCTCACACCCTTTCAAGCAGGAAGACAGCTCAGTGTTTTCCCTTTGCTGGACCTCCCTTCTCTCAGGCTTGTCATTACCAGTTAAACTGCGATAAACCTTAACCCAAACTCTGTGGTAGCAACACAGAGAGTAAAATAAACATGAGCCACTGTCATTTACCACCAAACTACTACAGTTAATCAAGCTCCACAGCAAAAAACCAATAAAATGACGCGATCTGCCAGTGCTCCGCTCCCTCCAGCACCTCCCCAGGAGAGGCGATGCTGTCACCAGCCCAGCCAAGAGCAGAGGATGCCGCTGTTCCCAAAGGACACGGAGCGCCCGAGTCCTCGGGAGCCCCGGGGCCGTCTCAGCTCAGGGCCCGGGATCAGCCCGGTTCTCTCGACAAGGTTCTGCCGCCCTCGGTCCCCGCTGCGGACCACGCCTCCGGGACGCGGGACCTGATCGTCTCCGCGAACGGGGCCGAGGGCTGGGCAGCAACCCGGGGCAAG